TTTACAGAGACCCAACAGTTGCCATATTTGACAAAATGGAACCCATTTGTATAGTTCCATGCAAGTGTTATGAAAAAATATATTGATTGAGATTACAGAACATGCTGTGTGGGCACAACATAGGCCACTACTGTTATAGAGGCATGAGTGTTAAATTAAGACTGTTTCATAGACTGTTTCATAACCAGTTAAAAACTCCTTGTAGTATGTTTAACAGCGATTGTTAAATCATATTTCTTTGTACAAAACCCATCAGCAGTGGTGGAAGAGAAGGGTTTAAAAAACAATTGTCTCCAAAATGGAGCATTTCATCATGTGCTGATTCAGAAGTTGAGATAATGACAAGCTTCTCTCTAGACGATGGAACAGCATCTTTAATTCCTGATCATAAATAAGTTGCACAAACTGCCAACTGTTGACATTTAGTTGGCCCTATCACAACTGCTTCCGCATATTAATGCAACAAAACCTCAGGCATGCATTCCACATTACAGACAGCAATAAAAGTTATATATCACTACAAATAATTTGGTCTGCATTTAATTTGATGATTTGATGATTTATTATTATATTTATTACCTATTAGCTGAGTTGATGTTGAGTCACACCAAATTTATGTTGGAGATCAGTCTTTACCAGCCCCATACGAGGATTTTTTGCACGTTACAGCTCTAACTTGTTTTTTCAGATATGGGAGGGGGTTTCCCCTGACAGGAAGCTGCCATCCTTGCAGGGATAACACATGCCTGCGCTACTTGTGCATTGTTTGTGTGTGAATGCTCTTGATGTTAGATTGTTCCATTTGCAGCATCATGACAGACAGGACAAACTGCTGATAAAGTAATGCTCACATGTGTTAATGTCGCAGGATTGAGTCAGCATGGAAATGCGCACTTTGTATGTGCATGGAGGGGTCTGGGTGTGTGTGGTGGGGGGTTGCCTGCTGTCTGGACTGATGAGTCAGATCTTTGTGGTGTCTGTGCAGACAGTGTGCATCCTTTTTCCTGCAGACAAGTGGAGAGGCATGCTGGACTGCTACTGGCGCGTAAACTCTCCAAGGTGGTTCTTTTCCTCAACATGTTAACTGGATCACTCTTTATGCACATACTGTATTATCTGTTTACCAGTGATATTAGGGAAAATCTGCATAAATATCTCTATGTCATTCACTCCCCTCAGCCCTCTCCATCTTTTGTTTCTCTGTTTTCATGTCTTTCTCTGCACAGCAGCCCATTAACCGGCAACCGCTGAGGGATAGCTTTATAATCATGCATAATGGATGAATGTGCAGGCTGCAAAAACCAAGTGTCAGAACAGCATTGTGCTGCTCTTGATCAGCTTTAATCCCCTCTCTGCTTCACTAGCTCAACATCAGGTAGCACTTTGTTACCGTACAATATGCACTTGATTCTTTGTGTGTCATTTCACAGACCTTTAGGGTTAAAATGGTCTGAACACACAGGCTCCCTAACATTTAGGGCAGTGGGTGGGTGTAGAGGAAGGAGTTCAACCGGATCAAGACAGACCGTTTCTTTCCACCCACCTCAGCATACAGCCACAGTTCCCAGTCAGTCTCTAATTAATAGCTGTCACAGTAGCCACAATCAATATCGCCTCATTAGCCATGTTTGTGCAACTCTCTCCCTTCACAAAGGGGTCAATACATAATCCCAGAGACAGAAATGCACCGGCCAGAGCTGAAATGAAAGCCACAAAACTATCGATTGGAAAACGGCCGACCATACATTTGTTTCCCCGGTAGATTGTTATATCCATAATGCTTTTGCTGTTGATGCATTTTACCTACGGAAAAATCAATGGGAGGTACGCGCAGCACTTACTTGTGTGGTCACTGCTGTTAAATCTGCTGTGGGTCTGCATGGTCAGATTTGTAAGTAAACCAATCAATAAACAAAGCAACAGAAATCATATTTAAATGAATGGCTTGTCATTGATAATAGGATCATTTTCTATTTCTGTGAGGTGTTTGTATAGTAAGATGGTTTGTATGTACATAATATAGGCTATATAATATATCGATTTTTATAGACTTGCAATTAAGATGGGAATCCAGAAAAGACAAACGAGGTGTGAGCAGATGGGAATCAAAGATGTGAGTGGTAATCAATTAGAAATAAATGACCCCAGTGCAACTCAAACCCTTTCTGCTCTGTGCTCCAAT